AATATAGACTAAGTAAAGTGTTCTTCTTTTATTATTTAAGAAGACATAACATGTGCTTAAGAAGGTTTTGGGGGACCCAAGTCAAAGTTCTGGCAATTCTCTTTGTATTAATCTCCAATCTAATAGCCCTCCAACCATTACTTCCCAGGGCTGAGTTGTGGTGACGCCATGCTTCCACTCCTTCCTCATAAAGTACTTCTTTCTCCATTCAACATAGAAGAGGCAATGTAGAACAAAGCAAAATCCCACAAGGCAAACGTTTGTATACACAGAGGAAGAAGATTAAAACTAACACAGAATAAGCAGATTACTGGCAAGGGTATTTGCCAAATGGCAGCTATCCAAAACCAAAGACCAAGTTGCCTTATATAAATTTCTATATGTTTATAAATCCTAAGAAAGATGAAATAACTCCATTTAAGAAGATCAATGAAATATATTAGAGCCCCAATCATGTTGAAAAATTCACCTGGGAGCAGATTCAAAAGATTATTGGTGACTAGGGCAAAACGGGCCAATGATGGGCTTCTCTTAGTCCAAGTATCAGATATCTATAAGAGGACTTCAAAAAGTTTGTAAACAATGGAATTAATATACAAGCTTATTTTGGTGCCCCCCCCAAAAAAATTAAATCCATGCATAGTTTTTTCATAATTTGCATTTTTCATGAACATTTTTAAAGAAGTATTTATTTAATTTTATTTATTGTTATTATTACTATTTTTTAAGTTGACCAAAGAAAGACAGAGAAAGAAAAAGAGGGAGAAAGCAAGCCACCAGGTCCAGAACTCAAATCATGGTCGGCCATGTGAGAGTCCAGCACCTTAACCACCACATCATCTGCTGGCCTCTTGTGAACTTTTTGCAGACCCTATATATGTGTCTACCGTGCCTAGATGTAGCTAGCCACAAGAAATACCTTATGTGCAAGAATTTAAAGGTCACTTAGTAAAAGGGAGGAAGGCAATCTAGTGGGATAATACAGTTACTATCCAACAAAGAAGGGTCACGAACTTATTCAACAAATACATGTAATGGGCCTAGTCTGTGTCCATCCCTAGAGAGATTGCTCTGGACACAGAAGTAAGATGGCTGGACAGTGGTGCAGTGGTAAAATACAGTGCTCTGCAAGGTTGACCCACATGGGAAGGTTCTAGGTTCATGTTTGGACACCTTCCTGAACACGTTGACATGCTCATACCCACAATCCAGGCTGGCTGAAGCTGGGGGTGAATTGTGGCAATAATAACTCTGTTGGGGCTGTCTACATATCTTTCTCTCTTACTCATTCATGAAAGAAAGAAACTTAAGAGGGGGAGTGGGGCATTTGTCTATTTTTATCTTGTTCACTGCTAGATTGCCAGCACCTAAAAGTACCTAGCATATAGGAGGCTCTCAGTAAATATATGTTAAGTAAATGAATAAGGTTTATGAACTAGCATCCAGGCTGTGGACAACTAAATAGGCATACAATGCAGTTTTCAATGAGTATCTACTGAGCATTTACCGTTAGTCAGGCAGTCACTGGACAATAACAGGTTGTGATATGGAAAAGCGTGGCAGGTGAAGGATGGAAGAGTTAAGTTTTGTGAGAGCACAAAGGACAGACTCTCCAGTCCTGCTCCTCCAACTCCTCCAACAAACAAGAAATGGCTTTCTGTAATCCCCAAATCTTTACATTCGATGAGTGGAGTGAGGTGAGAACACCCAGATGGAGGAAGTGTATGAACAGGATCCGTTCAGGAAAAGGGTGGTTAGGAAGAACTGCCTATATGGCATCTCTTATGGCTGTAGGGGAGTGAGCAAAAGCAGAAGTGTGGTTGAAGAGATTAATGATGGTGATCACAGAAGGGATTAGATCTATATATTTGTGGAGCCCCTGAGAGGTTTGAGGCAAAGGAGATAGGATTTACATTTTGGCCAGATAGCTCTAGCTTTAGGTGAAGGCAAACAAGCCAATGAGAACGTTTCAGCTGTGGTCCAGGTGAGAGGTGAGAGTGGCTTAGGAAAATGGAAATGGATTGTAGCAGACAGATTGAAGAGATATCTGGAAAGTAAAGGCAAAGACTGATGGATGTGGGAGAATGGTAGGAGACTGACAGGTTTCCAGCTCTGGATACCAAGTAAATAATAGGATCATTTCACAAAATAAGACACATAGGAAGAAGACAGACTTGGTTTGCAGTGGATAGGAAGGAAAATAACCCCAACCAGTCAGCAGAGAGTGGAACTAAAATCAACTAATTAAATCAGCAGGGTCCGATTAGCACTGACCTAAGGTATGAATGAGGTAAGCTGTGCCCTACAGGTTGTGATGTTCCTGGCACAAAAATTACCACCCAAGAGACCAGCAGATTGCATAATGGTTACATCCTGGACTCCCACATAGTCGACAGCGGTTTGAGTCCTGGACCCAACAGCTTAAAACATGCCAGGTATGTGTGCATGAACATCCAAAATCCCAAGAGGAAAATGGAGGATAAGAGACTGTGGCCTGGCCATTCCCCCTGGGGGAGAGGGGTGATTTCTCACTTTCTGTCTCTGTCTCTGTTGCTCCAGCAAGCACACATGCCCTATAGCAAAAATCCCTCTCAAAAAAAAATAAAATTACCACCCAATTCTCTTATCAATTCCAGTGCCTGCGAATACTTTTATCCTAGACTGAATACAAATGCTGGTTCATTTATTCATTCATTAATTCAATAAACATTTATTGACTGCCCATACTATACCAAGTATAGTTCTAGATATTGAGAACAGAGTGATAAACCATACAGATGAGATCCATGAACCCATGTGACTTACAATCTAATGCAGGGGTAGGGAGAGTATAAATTTTTTTTTTTTTTTGAGAGAGGATTTTCACTATAGGGCGCATGCACTCGCCAGACAGAGAGAGACATAGAGACAGAAAGCGAGAAATCACCCCCCAGGGAGGATGGGCACGCCGCAATCCCTTCTCCTCCATTCTCCTCTCGGGATCTTGGGCACGCACGCACACGTGCCCGGCGTGAGTTTTAAGCCACCGGGTCCAGGACACGAACCGCGGTCAACTACGTGGGAGTCCAGCGACACAGCCATTACACTAACTGCTGGTTCCCGGGAGAGCATAAATATTATAAGTAAGAAAGTTGTATAGAGAATTAGAAAATTACAGAGAAAAGTATGCAGGAAATGGAGTTAGGTCATTCTGGGTATGTGAGTGCGATTTTAAATACGGTGGACGCAAAGTCTTACTAGAAAAGGTGATATTGAAGCAAAATTTGGTGATAATGGCAATGCAGTTATCTAGGAGAATAGCATTCCAGGCTAACTGCTTCAGTATGGATCATTTCTATTCCCTTTTTTCAAGGCTCCCGAGCATTTCTGCCACTGTGTTCTTAGTCTAACACAATATATTTTTCCTTCACATATTGATTTTTATAGTACTAGGATATCTATTTGATTCTGTTTCAAAATTTCCATTGATTTGTTCAACACTATCTCTTCACCTTATATCCATTTTTCTGTTACTGGAAATTATTGAAATAGTGCATGATACATTTTAACAGGACTACTCTAGCTTTTGTATTCATTGTGAAGGGGTCAAGGGCAAAAGAAACAGGAAGATCAACTAGAAAACTATAGAAGTAATTTAGATAAGAGATGATGGTGGCTTAGACCAAAGTACAACAGTAGAAAAAGTGGGATACAAGGGACCAGCAGGTGGCATAGTGGTTAAGGTGTTGAACTTCCATGCGGTTGACTGTGGTTCAAGTTCCAGGCCTGGTGGCTTGAAACTCACACCAAGGGTGTGGGCAGGTGTGCCCAAACTCCTGATAGGAGAATGAAGGAGAAGGGATTGCAGTGTGGTCATCCCCACTGGGGGTTGATTTCTCCCTTTCTGTCTTTCTCACTCTCTGTCCCTCCAGTAAGCACACATGCCCAATAGCAAAAATCTCTCTAAATAAAGTTCAATAAACAAATTTTTTTAAATGTTAAAAAGTGGGATAAAGTGCCTAGTAGGAGGCATCACTCATAGTGAACTGGATATTCCTAGGGCCACCTAACCAATACCATAAGAAGAATTTTCTAAAAAAAGAAGTTGGGGTGAGAAAATTGCCAGAGAGAGAGGAGTGAAAGCAAGAAGTATCCAGAGATATGGAAAGGTGACCTACAAAGAAAGGAGTTCAGGCTATATAATTCTGGGCCACCAGAACTAAAAAGATCCTCGAAGAAATCATTTAGCCTAACTTCCTCTTATCACTGATGAGGAGCCCGAGAAACAGCAACAAGCATGGACTTGCCTCAAGTCAAACAGCAAGTTAGTGGCAAACCCGGGATTTAACGCTACAAAATTATGCATCCCTAACTATGTTCCTATGAGGTCTGGATCAGCTGGGATAATTTGAAACCAATGAGCTACATAAAGGGAAGAGAAGGAAATGAAATGACTGAACACGTATTGTATTCCTAGTACCATAGGGGTCACTTTTCATATATTTAACCCTCTACTTTGCAGAATAGGCAGGGCTACTTTCATTTTCCATATGATAATAATGAGTTTCAAGAAGGTTTAATAATCTACCTTAGTCTGGTATGCTATTCTTACAGAAATACCTGAGAAGAGTGAATTTAGAGAATAATTTAAGAGAATTGAGGTTTATTTGACTCATGATTCCAGTCATATGTAAGGTCCAAAGGTATCACAAAATGGCATAGGGCAGAATTTTAAAAAGAGCAGCTGTCCATATATCCCCATCTGTTCTGGTCTCCTTTCAACTTAATAACTTTATAATGTAGCCAAGTCCCAATGCATGAATTTTGGAAGGACATTCAAATGATAGTACACCCCAAGAGCATGCACCTAGAAATAGGGGAAAACACAGATCTATTTAAAACCTGAGCATATTTATGTCCACTTCTGCATGAGCTGGGATTTTGTTATAGGAGAGCCTATCTGATGTGTGAATACAGGTAAAGTTTTGGCATTTCTCAGCCACAGTGTTATTTTTATTCAGGAAACAGCACTGAACAGGGAACTGGGCTCAAAGTCAAGATTGGCTGACTCAAGAAAGCACCTCTGCAAACAAAGCTGGCAGAGTAAAGGCTTCAACTCCTTTCCATGGGTAAGGAAACTTTCTATAGAATAGAAAAAATGGCCTTAAGAGAAGGAAGCCTAGGCAGAAGGGCTCAGGTCTCCTGGCCATAGGGAGCTACAGAAGATTGGGGAGTGGGGAGAAGTATTATACCTTGGGAGAGGCCAGCCCAATTTATAACCCCACCATAGTCAGCTTACAATTGGCATCTGAAATTCAGATCCCAGAACCCATCGTCCTCATTCCTCTACCTTCTACAGCAACCCACCAAAACCTTGCCTCGAAGATCTTCTGTTTATGCTGCAGGGACTGTGAGGAGCCCCAAGCCATGGATGACTCCAAGGTTCCCAATAAAACCCAAGAGCTTCAGCCATCAACCCAGAGTAGGTACCAGATAAGAACACCCAGCATGGGCTCTCCAGACTTCAGTTTGCTTGTTTCCCTCTTGCTGAGATACCTCCAGATTCCCTTCATCTTTTGAGTGATAGTTCTAACCTAAAATGAGATGAGAATGTTATAGTTAAGTACCCAAACTGATAAACAAGAGTGCCTAAAGTCTTGCTACTCAAAGTGTATTTCATAGACCAGCAATATTATCATCACCTGGGAGCTTGTAGAAATGCATTTTCAGACCCCAGTCCAGACCTAGCAAATCACAGCAGGCATTTGAACATGGTTTTCAGGTAAATTTGAATGTACACTATAGTTTAAGAATCGTTAGACTGAAGACCAGAAAAATAGTGGTTAAGATTCCTCCTTTGGGGGCTGTACAGGTTGTTCAAATCTCAGTTGTCCCATAAAAGATGGGAAACTCACTTTACCTCTCTGATTCTCAGTCTCCTTACCTGCAAAGTGGGAATATTCATAATACAGTATTACTTTTGAAGATGACTGGGAGGGTAAAATAAACAATATATGTAAACACCTACCACATAGTCTGACACAAAGCAGGCACTCAACAATCATCGAGTGGAAACTACATATGGGTTATTGGTCAGGATAGAGGATAGATTTTTGCTGTTAAAATAAACAGCCTTGGACTCTCAATGATTTACAAAACCAAGATGTATTTCTTGCTCATGAAAGTCCAGTATACATCAGTTATCCCTTTTTTATCTTCAGCCAAGGTCATCTGGAAAGTGAGGTTTCCAAGGCTATCACAAAGCCCTATGGTCTTCAGTGTGTAATCCCATCTTTCTTGAGGTCAGGACAAGAGATCAAAATCAGGACAAGAGGTCATAGCAGAGAAGACTAGGGGGTCAAAATCAGCTATTTTAGACAGGAAAAAAAGAAAGAAAAGCATTATTATCAAGATCGGGCAAAGCTAGGACCGATGGCATACCGTCTACCTCCTACAGATGGAGGTAAGGGGCAAGACTGATCAAGAGTCTGGCAGAGTCCAACTGGGAAATGGAACAGAAGGGCAGGAAAAAATTCTCATGGCATATTCTGCCAGAAACCTATACATGAGAATCTTTTGAAAGGCTTCTCCTGGGCTAGCCTCATAACCTAGTGGTTAAGGGAGCCAGATCCCATGTGGCTGATTGTGCAGGTGGAATCCCAGCTCTGGCAGCTTGAAAAACACACCAGGGACATGTGCACACATGCTTAAAACTCTGACAGGATGCAGAAATGGAGAAAAGATCGTGGCATGAACATGCCCGACTGGAGAGTGTTTTCTCCCTCTTCCTCTCTCTCAGCAAGTGCACGTGCTCTCTGACAAATTAAAAAAATAATGAACTAATAGTCATTTTAAAACTATAAGACTCCTCCTGAAAGTATATAGCTTCACGGTAAAAATCAAGAACTTCAAAAATGTCAATGCGCTTTCCCCAAGATGGCAATGATGGTAATTACTAAGTTCCTATCGCATGCAAAGCACTATAGCTATTAGGTCCCCAGATGTGATTAGATAAAATCCCCTCCTGTTTCACAATTTACATTTTACACTTTACTTGTAAAATGACATTATTTAATCTCCACAAATACTCTAAGGAGTGGACACTATCGTCCAAAATGAATATAACACTTTACAGATAGGAAAGCAGACGTAGCAGGAGATTAAGTAATTGGTAAATGACAAACCTTTGGATTATATAACAGGGTTCAGCTTCTTAACCAAATCCTTTGTTATACAAGACAAAGTCTTATTACAGCAAGATTTATCACAACAGTATTTATAGCAGTATAATTTGAAAATAGTCTCCATATTCAAAAATAGAACAGTAGGTAAATAAATTTTGAATTATCCATAAAATAAAATAATGTACAAATAAAAAATTTAGTGACATGATGAGACCAGTAGATGACGTAATGTTTAGGTCACTGGATTCCCACATAGTCAACCGCAGTTTGAGTCCCGGACTCGGCAGCTTAAAACTCATACCAGGCACGTGTGCATGCGGGTCCAAAATCCTGAGAAGAGAATGGAGAAGTAATTGAGGCATGGCCACCCTCCCAGGGGGGCTGATTTCTCACTTTCTCTCTCTCTCTCTCTCTCTCTCTCTCTCTGTCTCTTTGGTAAGCATATGAGCCCTATAGCAAAAATCTGTAAAACCAAAACAAAAATGTAGTGACATGAGAAAAATGTTTATGATATAATATATATTTAAGAAAACAAAATGCATACACACTATATAGCATGTGATGAGCTACGTAAATATGCACAGGAGAAGATGAATATTCTGTGAGAATATTCAGGAGAAGGGATATTTTGGGGCTATTTTTACTACTTCATATTATTTAATATTTCCTAACTTTTCTGTAATGGGTATGCATCATATTTATAAATAAAGTTTTTATTTATTTATTTATTTAGGTTTTTGCCACAGTGTGCATGCACTCCCTGGAGAGACACAGCTAGAAGAGAGAGATCACTCCCAGGGTGGATAGACATGCCGCAATCCTTTCTCTTCCATTCTCTTGGGATTTTGGATGTGCATGCACACACATCCAGCATGGTTTTCAAGCTGCCAGGTCTGGGACTCAAACTGCAGTTGACTATGTGGGAGTCCAGAATCTTAAGCACCACACCATCTGCTGCCCCTCACCCCAAAAGTCAATGTTTCTTAAAGTACAAAATTTAAATCTAACACCTGTTAATAAGGGGAAGCAGTCAGGAGACAGGAGGAGGTAGATTCAGGCGCTTCCCCACCCACAATAACCACCACTTGTGTGTGCTGCTTCAAAGTTGATAAAATGTCTGTGGTCTCGGCTGAGCCTCGCACATGATGGTGTGCAATTATTGCTAGGTTTACAACTTCAGAAGGATGAGTTCAACAAACAAAATCCCAAGTACATGAATGCAGCTTCCCGCTTATCTTTCGGAAAACCTCTGATCCACTCAGAAAAGAGAGATTCCTCCAGCAGCAGTGAGTTTGAGGGTGAGTCCCAAACTGGAGTCCTAACACTGACCAAGGCCCTCCAGGGCAGGGAGCCTTGCCCTAATGACCAGACCCCATTGTTACATTAGTTTAGTCAGGGGTGGGGGGTGGGGATGGGGGTGGACACAGGTCTGGCTTCCACCATGAAAGCAGGGTCAGATCTGAGCACACTGACTCCAAAAATCTTCTGAGCTAGGAATTACATAAACAGCAGGTCTAGGAGGACAGGATACACATCCATACTATCCTTCTAAGCCTTGTGGCATCACCTCTCGTGTGTATCTTACGAGTGACTATTTGCTTAATGTGTCATTAATCCAGTGAACAGTTAAGTTCCCAGAGGGCAGGGCCCACATCAGCTTTGTTCCCTGTTCCCCAGAACCCAGCCAGGGGCTTGGCAAGTTGACAATACCTGAATACGTGTGTAAACTGAGCATAGTTCAGAGAGGAGTGGAAGGCCTCTTGGTCATGGAAGGACAGATGCCCAACCCAGGAGTGGCACAGTTCAGGAAGAAGAAATGCAGCCATGATGCCAGATACCCACTCTGCCGAGTGGTTTCGCATAGCATCTTAGTCCGTCTTCTGTTGTGATAACAGAATATAGCAGATTGAGTCATTTATAAAGAGAAGACTTATATTTTGCAATTCTGGAGGCTGGAAAGTCCAATGGCACCAGCGTCTGCTCAGTATCTGAGAGGGATGTTCTTGCTGTATAGTTACCATGGGGACAGCGTCACCTCACAAGAGGGTAAGAGCATGTGTGAGCAAGAGCTGGAAAAGGCCGCTTTTGAAACAACTCACAATAACACATCAATCTATGAATGGGCTAATCTATTCCTGAGGGTAGAGCTCTGACAACCTAACAACCTCCCACCTTGCTACACTGTTAGTGGCAATTAAACATCAGCATGAGTTTGGGCAGGGCATCCAAAGTATGGTAGCTCATAACTACTCCATAAGGTCAAGCTGTTGAGAGCTAAGAATCAGCCCACTCATTTTAGAACCTCCTTGCAGACAAAAATCTCATACAAAGTCTAATTGCTATAAAAGATCAAAGTACACCTGACCTACTCAAATGGAAGGTGAGAAGCTGGGAACCCCACTAGTTAACCCATTCCTCCCTCTGTCCCCAGTGCTGAGGCCACAGAAGGGAAGGCACTTTCACAAGTCCGCCAGGGTCAGAGCAAGGTGGGCCCAAGTCCCCTATCTTTCCATGCCACTGTATTTTGCAGAAACTCTACCATCTCTGACTCCACCAATGCAGTACAATACGAGACCTACAGCTAGACACTCCTTCCCTTCACAGAGGATTTCCAAAACCTGGGTTGGGGTCCATCTTAGCTCCCATAGCACCTAAGAAGCTGAGGAATGATCAGAGTTGAACACAGATAACCAGGACAGTTCATCCAAACCCCAGTGTTTTTTCTTTCTTCTTTTAGATATAAATGCATATGCTTCCCAACAAGGCTTTTACAAAAGAAACTTAAACCGCTACTCCCAGGAGCGCTGGCCATTCCAACCGTGCCTCATTGGGAGGCCCTGAGCATTCTAGTTGGCAGTGCCCACGTGGGTCTCTGAGCTGTGCAGCTGCGGGAGCATGTCCATGAGGAAGAGAGCAGTGGACAGGAGTCATGAAGACTGATTCAGAAACTCCCCTGGAGGAGGAGAAGACGTCTGAGCCATCCCTGTGCCACCGACAAGAGTCCTCCAGCTTCTGAAAAAGCCACAGTGGGAGGAGCTGCCTCCAATTAAAGTCCTTGGTCACATCACAGGATCGTGTCCCTCCTGTTTTCCCCTCCCTTTTATCAGGGAGTGTCTCTTCCAAATGTCTTATCTTTTTATATGTATTGTCATATCTAACTTTAAAATTATTTTAACCTTTTGGATAGCTTTGGAAATAATTTCAGGCTTAAGGAAAAGTTAAAATGGTACAAAGAACTCCGATGTACCTTCTACTCGGGCTTACCAGTTGTGTATATATTTCCCCCATTTGCCTTATCACCTTTTCTCTCTCTCATTTTCTTCCTGAACCACTTGAGAATGTGCTGCGCACTTCACGCTTTTTTACTCCTAAATACATCTGTGTATATTTCCTAATAATAAGACTACTCTCTATCATAACTATAGTAGAGTTGTCAAAGGCAATAAATTCAACGTTAATGTAATGCTCTTCAAATTTCCTCAGTTGTCCCAAAAATGTCTCGTAGCTACCCTTTTGCCCAGTCTAGCATTTCATCCAAGATCATAAATTGCATGTACTTGTCACATTTCTTTAGTCTCCTTTAATCTGGAACAGTTCTGTCTTCCTCTTTCATGGCCTTTATATTTCTGAAGCATACAGGTAGACCGGTTTTATAAGATGTCCCTCAGTGAACCTGATGGTTCCTCATGATTCAATTCAAGTGTTCCATTTGGGACCGAAATGCAGCAGAAGCAGCGCTGTGTCCTCCTCAGTGCATCGTATCAAGAGCTACGTGACGTGGGTAGGTTCCCTGATGTGTGATGTTAACTTAGATCACTTGGCGGAAGCAGTGCCTGCTGCCAATTGTCTCCACTGTAAGTTATTATTTCCCCCCTTTTTAATTAATAAGAAATATGGGAATTCACCCAGGTTTCCTGGTACGTTAATATGGTTTATTGCTTACATTTAGATCCCTATTCCATTTGACACTTGTTAGTATCGTACGTATGTGGAATGCCTAACATTTTTTTCCGAATAATCATATGGTTATTCCAGCACATTTATTTAAAAGACCACTTTTGGGACCAGCAAATGGAGCAATGGTTACATTGCTGGACTCCCACATAGTCGATTGTGGTTCTAGTTCCGGACCCAGCCACTTAAAACTCATACTAGGCACGTGTGCATGTATGCCCCAGACCCCAAGAGAAGAATGGAGAAAGGATGGCCGTGTGGCCATCTTTCCTCAGGGGGTGATTTCTCACTTTCCATCTCTCCGTCTCTATCTCTTCCAGTGAATGCACATATTCTGTGGCAAAAATCTCTAAAAAGTTTTTCAAATAAAAGACCATTTTAGGGAACCAGCAGTTAGCGTAATGGCTATGTCGCTGGACTCCCATGTAGTCGACCATGGTTCGCGTCCCGGACTCGGTGGCTTAAAACTCATGCCAGGCATGTGTGAGTGCATGTCCAAGATCCCGAGAGGAGAACGGAGGAGAAGGGATTGCGGTGTGGCCATCCCCCCTGGGGGGTGATTTCTCGCTTTCTGTCTCTCTGTCTCTCTCTGTCTGTCTGGCGAGAGCATGCGCCCTATAGCAAAAAACCTCTAAAAAAAAAAAAAGAGACCATTTTAGGTCATCTAAATGGCACATTTATTATAATATACTAAATTTCACACATATCTGGGTCTTCTTCTGAACTTTATATTCTATTCCACCAGTGAATCTGTTCACAAGCTAGTACGTTCTTTTATTCTTACATGTTTAATTTTGAATAGTATTCATTTGTATATGTATTTGCTCAGTGCTAGTCTTGTTGTCTTTCAGAGCTATTTTAAAAGTGTTCTTTGTAGGGAACCAGCAGTTAGTGTAATGGCTATGTCGCTGGACTCCGATGTAGTCGACTGTGGTTCACGTCCCGGACCCGGTGGCTTAAACTCACGCCGGGCGCGTGTGCGTGCGTGCCCAAGATCCCGAGAGGAGAATGGAGGAGAAGGGATTGCGGCGTGACCATCCCCCCTGGGGGGTGATTTCTCGCTTTCTGTCTCTATGTCTCTCTGGCTGGCTGGCGAGCACACGTGCCCTATAGCGAAAATCTCTCCAAAAAAAAAAAGAAAAAAATTGTTCTTTGTATAAATTTTTTAAATTTCTTATTAAATTTATTTCTAAGTATTTTATCTTTTTCGGTTGCTATCATGAACAGGGTTTTTCTCTGTCGTAATTGCCGTGTATATTAATGCTATGGAATTAAGAATGCTAATTTTATGTCTTGCTTCTCTTCTAATTTTTCCTTAAATTTTCTAGAAGGCATATGTACTTATCAGGGAGAAAAATAGGAAGAGGGGGAATGGGAGAAAGCATCCCCCATGAGGCATGGTCATGCCACAGCTGCTTCTTCTCCATTTCTCTGTCCTTTGGGGATTTGAGGCATGTACATTTATGCATCTGGTATGTTTTCCAAGCCTCTAGGGCCAGGATTTGAACAGTGCAGTCAGTCATGTGTGATCTGGCTACCTTGACCACCGCAGAGCTGGCCCCTTTCTGAAATGTTCTGTTTGAATAGGTGTTGCTATTGATTCCCTGTGGTTTTCCAGGAATATCATCATATCTTCTGCAAGTCGTGATACTTCAGCCTCTCCCTTTCTCATTCTGCCATTAATTTACCTTTTCTAATTGCAACACTTAACACTACCAGTACAATATTGGACAGCGCAGCTAACGGGTACCTGATTTTTGTTCCTGATCAATTGTTTATTTTATTTGTTATCATTATTATTTTAATTTGACCAGAGAGAGAGAGAAAGAGAAAGTGAGAAAGCAAGCTGCCAGGTCCAGGACTCAAACCGCAGACAGTCATGTGGGAGTCCAGCACCTTAACCACTGTGCCACTTGATGGTCCCTTGTTCCTGATTTTAAAGGAAATATTTTTAGTGTTTACCCATTAGGTAAGAAGCTGACTTTAGGACAGAGATAGAGGTACTAGAAATAGCTATTTTATCATGTTAAGAAAATATCCATAAATTCTCTCTTTTTTCTTTTCCAGCAGCTATGAAGAAAAAAAGCTGTATCATCCCCTTCCTCATATTAAACCAAACTTCCATGGAACAAATCTCACCTGATCATGATGTATTATTTTCATAATATGGGATTGGATTCTGTTCACTAACATTTATTTCGTATTTTTATACCAATACTGATAGGTGATATTGCTCCATAATTTTTTGTATTTTTATTGTCTTTATTAGACATAGCTAGCAATATCATACACTTGTTTCATTAAAGAAATGTAGGGGGCCAGCCGGTGGCATGATGGTTGAGGTGCTGGACTCCTACATGTCCAACCATGGTTTGAATCCCAGACCTGGTAGCTTGCTTTCTCACTTCTTTCTCTCTCATCTCTCTTTCTCTGTTTCCTCTCTTATGAGCACACATGCTCTATAATAAACTTAAAAATGATAATAAATAAATAAGTTTGTTTTTTAAGAGAAATTTTTGCTATAGGACACATGCACGGTCATCCCCTCGGGGGGGGGGGGGGGGGGATGGTTTCTCGCTGTCTGTCTCCCTCTGTCTCTCTCACAAGCAATACACCCAGTAGCAGAAATCTCCCTTAAAAAAAAAAGAAAAAAAAGCCTCAGCTTCTAATGCATCCTCTCTCTGCCATTTACTAGCTGTGTCACCTAGCCAAGATATCTGAACAACTCCGGGCCTCAGTCTTCTCATCTGTCAAATGTGTATCTACCTGTAGCACAGTGAAGTATTGGCCCAATATTTTCACCTATCTTGGCCAGTTCCTCTTTGGTGAAGTGTATGTTCTCCCCCCTGAGCCCTGTCACGTGACTTGCTTGGTCAATGGAAACAGCAGATGGAACACCAGCAGGAGCTTAGACATGTGTTTTCACCGTGGGACTTGCTCTTTCGCCTTTTGCCTCTTGCATCCTGATTAGAAGGGCAGGCCTGGCTAGCCTGCTAATCCAAGGATAAGAGACGGATGACATATGTCACAGCTAACATGACAGGTAGGGTGGACAGAGGGGCAAACCCCAGGAGACAGAGTCCAAAGACAGTCTCCCTCCTTCTTGCCTCTGTGGTTCACTCCAAACCCCCCTGGACCCAGCATTCCAGGTTTCCCAGCTCTGTGACATCACAGACAGCTTCCTGTCCACTCTGCCATCTGCAGGTGAGTGAGGCTCAGGTTAGACCAAAGAGAGGGATTTTTCTGTACTAAAAGGGACAATGTCCCCACCACTCCTCGTCACCTACTCTCTTGGCTATAAGCAATTACCCCACCCCTATTCGCCCTGATCCCACTTTGCTCTCTCTGGGTCCCAGTCTCCCTATCTGTGCTGAGTGGCCCCTACAGGCTCCTCCAGCTCCCGAAGGCTTCCTGGTTGACCTCCCTGCACTTTCTTGTTCTGGTCAAAGTGCTGTGAGGTCACTAGACACCTGAAGTTCACAGGCCACCGGGGACAAGCCAACAGCCCTTTTCTTTGGCTCCTACTTCCACCTAGAGGAGGGCACTGGTAGTGCAAGAACCACCACATTCCCTAACCAACCCAAGTCAATCTCCCCTACATCGCCATCCTTCAAATTATTAACTGCTTACTGTATACCAGACACCAGGCTTAGCACGTTCCATCCTTGTCACCCAATCCTCATGACAATATTTTAAGGATGGTTTTACCATCCCTATTGCTTAGACAGGAAACTAAGGTTCAAGTAGGTTAAATTCCTCCACACAGCAGCAAGGTACAACAAGAATCAGGATTCTGAATCCCTCCAACTTTAAAAAAAAAAAAAAAAAGTGTATTCTTAACTGCCAAGCTGCTCTGTTCAGCTTCAGATGGAGATTTTGCACTTAGAAACCACCCACCACCCGCTCTCAGAGTACAAACTGATTCCGAACATCTCATTCTGTAACTGTCTGTAGGATGAGGCTATGGACAACAGAGGCTCTGGCTTTACACAAAAATACATGAAAGTCCCAGCTGTTCCTCTTGGCTGCGACATCCAGGCTAGTCTGCTTTCTGAGGCTCAACGCCCTCCATCTGAAAGGTGGGGCCAAGTCCTACTCTACAGGGTGGAGATGAAAAATCAGGGAACTCATGGATATCAAAGGACCTGCCCAAGAGGCTTAGTGAACATCGGTGATCTTGACACCATGGCCCTTTGCTGTGTGCTGGGATCCACCGGTGACCTGAACCCAGCCCTATCTCCTCGGGAGCAAAAATCTGTCACCCTTGTTCACTGCAGTACTTCCCGGGACCTCACACACTTCTCAGCACCAGGAGGTTCTCAATAAATATATGCCAAACCAAAAAAAAAATTTTTTTTAAGGTGCATGTGTTTGGCAGAAAGAGAGCCAGGGAAGGGCCACAGTCCGTTCTCCTCCATTCTCCTCTCAGGACCTGCGCAAGAGACTTGGCAAACATCAGTGACCTTGACACCTTGGCTATGTCTCTTCCCATTAACTTTTAAGATTGAAGTCACGGGGAGGGTGAGGAAATCCCAAACAAGGATGCTTCTATCCATCTCTAGAGAAGGGAGTAAAAACCTTGTTTGAGGAAGGAAGATTAGGAAAAGGGTTGAGCATATCTTGTCCAACAGAGAAAACTCCATATTCAACCAACACAGAGAGACCACCACCTCTGAACATGGCCTTTTGCTGTATGCTGGGACCCAAAGGTGACCCGGACCCAGCCATCTCCTTGGGAGTAAGAATCCGTCACTCTTGGTCACTCCAGTACCCCCCAGGACCTCACACACTTCCCAGCACCAGTAGGTCCTCAGTAAATAAATGCCAAACTCTTTTTAGAGAGATTTTTTTGCTATAGGGTGCATGGGCTCACCAAAAAGAAAGACTGAAAGACAAAAAGCGAGAAATCACTCCCTAGGAGGTATGGCCAAGCCACAGTCCCTTCTCCTCCACTCTTCTCTCAGGATTTGGAGCACACACACACATACACACAAGCACATGCACCTGGAGTGAGTTTCTAGTCGCCAGGTCCAGGACTTGATCTGTGGTCAGCCTTGTGGGAGTCCAGTGACATAACCATTACACCATCTGCTAGTCCCCCAAATAATTTTTTTTTAAATCATGGATCTTTCTTTCTTTTTTTTTGGGGGGGGGGCACATGAACAGGCAGTTCAGCAAATATTTACTGAACATCTGCTAAGGTCTAGGCAGACACAGTTCAATGACAAGAAAGGGCCAGGATACAGAAAACCCTGGGGTTGCTGGGACCACAATGGAGAAGCCCTGGTTCATCCCAGGTGAGACAGGGTGGCTTGCTGAAAGGAGGTGACATAGGTGAAGGAACGCTGAGAGGACATGGGAGTAGAGGAAGCAGCTTGTGCACAGGCATAGTGCTGGCAGCACGTGGTACACTGCAGGCAGCTCCTAGGGCCAGAGAGTGAGAGGAGAGTGAAGAGCGAGTGAGTTGGGAGTGAATGAAGCTGGCAAGGTTGACAGGGCCAGATCCTGGAACAAATCTGAGCAGCGCAACAGGGGAGCCACTGAGGGTGTGAGGCATAGTAACTAGACAGGATTGGCACAGGGGGCAGATCGCACGGTTGCAGGTAAGCCAGAGACCAGTGGGGAAGCTGAGGTCATGATCCAAAGGAAAGAGGAGTGGTGGGGAGGGCAGCAGATGGAGGGCAGCAGACAACAGAGGATATATGTATAAGGTAGAATCAAAAGACCTTGAGGAATAAAACCATGTGGGAAATGAGGTGGGAGCGGGGGGGGGCGGGGTGGTTACCATTTCTGGCTCCCAACACAAAGCAAATAGTTGGACCCATCTCCAAAATAGGGAGCGTGGGAGAAGGAGAAGTAAGTTTGGACTGGAGAAGGCAGGGAAGGGAGGTGGTCCCTGTTTTTGGTGGGGAGCCAAAAGCTGAGTTGTGCAGGAAGTCATCAGTCGGCTTGGCAGGTGGGTGAGGCAGGCAGTGTCCTACCACTCGTGCCATTACTGGAACAAAACTGCTTCACCTCACCCCTCGGTCCTCCGTGGTGATAGCACCTGCTTGTACCCAGGACTGAAGAAGGATAACTGTGCGTTAATGCAGCTGAGCCACAGAGACTGACAACTGCCTACCTTACACCCTGTACTGGGGAACCCAACAGAAAACCAAGGAGACTCCCAGCCAATGTGGGCTCACTAAGAAAGCAGAGCACACGCAAGTAAATAAATGCTCAGATATGTTAGAACACGACAGGGACTTTGGGGAAGAATGAAGTGGGGAAAAGAAATAGGGAATGCTGGGAGAGCATAGTGGGCTTAAACAGTGTGAATGAATACGGAGGGTGAATAGAGTGAACAGGCCAGAGAGGACCACATTAGAAGAAGCCATTTAAAAATGGCTTAGGGGAAGAGGGGGTAAGCCTATGGATCTCCAGGGACAAAGTATTCCAGGCAGAAGGTGGAGCAAATGCAGAGGTCTGTGTGTGGTGCAGTTGGGATACAATGAAGGGGAAGGTGGCCAGAGATAGGCAAGAGGAGTAGGCAAAGGTAATGGTTAGGTCACAAATGTGATCAAGAGAGGTCGGGAAAAGAGTCTGGCTTTTACTCTGCCTAGTCTGGGCCACCACTGGGAGGTTCTGAACAGAGGTGTGGTCAGTTCTGACATGGTAAGAGATCCAACTGCATTAACATTTAATGAAGATCAGGGTGAAGAAGCAAGGAAACCAGTGAGGAGCGAATGCAATACTCCAGGTGAAATGATGGTAGCTGGATCTGGGGAAGAGATGGGAAACCAGTCTGAAAACAAGGTCATGGAGTAAACCCAGTGTGCTAGGACTGACATACAACTGCCATGATGGAAATTGCCAGGCTGGGGCTCTGGTCAAAGGGAAAGGGGAACAAGAGCAGGAGATGGTCAGAGTCTGAAAGAAAGAAAGGAGGTTGGGAATTAAGACTTAACAACCTTTGGAACCAGCAGATGGTGTAATGGTTACGTCATTGGACTCCCACATAGCTGACTGCGGTTCAAGTCCCAGACCCAGCGGCTTAACCTCATGCCAGGCATATGTGTGTGAGTGCCCCAAATCCCGAGAGGAGAATGGAGGAGAAAGGACTATGATATGGCCGTCTCCCCAAGAGAGTAATTTCTCGCTTTCTGTCTCTGTCTTTCTGGCAACCACATGTGCCTTATAGCAAAAAATCTTTCTCTAAAAAAAAAAGTGAATAAAAAGACTTAACAACCTCAGGTCATCAGGGCTGGAAGGACCCTTGGAAAGACAATGCAGCCTAACCACCTCCTGTTGCAGACAGGGAGTCCAAAGAGATGGATGGGCTACGATAACTCCTCACAGCAACTTATTGACAGTGTCGAGATTTGAACCCACAAGACAGCTTCATGATCATGCTCCCATGGGTCCTGGATCCAACTGGAAGAAACTGAAGTCAATGAGCTACAGGACGGAAAGGGAATGGCAAGTCAATGAACAGAGTAAGCACTTCTGGACACCTGCCAACAGAGCAGCTAGTCTACATACGGTTAAACATGCATTCCTCTAGGGGATACAATAGCCCCACTGTCCAGATCAAAAAGTGAGGCTAAAGAGTACAGAACCAGCCCAGGGGCACACATCTAGCAAGTAGAAGGCAAATCCGACACCTCACCATCAGTGTGTCTGTATGGGCTTCTAAGTGAGCTGGGGTTCTGCTGTTGTAAAACCTGCAAAGAAGGGGCCAGCATTTTCCATCCATAGTCCTAAATGCAATGGGGAAACAGCCGTGCCCAGAGAACTTACCTGCCCCACAAGATCAGCTGATTCAAGAAGACACCCCTGCAGGTAAAGACCGACAGAGTACAGACTCCAGCCCTCTCCATGGATAGAACTGTGTATAGGAGAGGAAGAACTAGCACTCAGAGAGGTAGGCCAAGCAAGTGGGCCCAGATCTTCAGGCCACAGGGAGCTAAAGGAGGTGTGAGAGAGAGGAGGGCCCAGCATGATCCATCACTTACATAACAATGGGCTTCTGGCCTTGGGGCTGCAGATCAGATGCCTCTTGGCCCTTTCCCCTTCCACAGCCTATCAAAACATGGGGTCAACACTTTTCTGTTGCTGCTGCAAGGCTGACGAGAGAGCTTCCAATCCTGTTGGCACCCACAGTCCAAGAACGTCTGAACAACAGCATCCACGAACCTTCAGTAGGTTCCAGACAAGGGTGTGTGATAGTTAGTACAGGCACCTCGGGCTGGGACACACGCAGATTTCTCTCAGCCTTTGAGGGTGTTAAGGGAGATAGTTACCCAAACCTGTAACAATACAGCCTAAAAACAATATTAGATATTAGTTACTAGGGATTAGATACCAGTTAAAATTACTGGCTTTAGTCCTATGTGGCAGTTTAAATTCTGTCTGAGCCACTCACTGAGCTAGAGCACATCCCTGACCCTCTCTGTACTTTGGCGGCACTCTCTGCAAAATGAGGGTAATGCTAATATATCACCTACTTTACAGGTTGCAGGTAGGCAACATAGTTAGGTGTGGAGAATATGGCCCCACATGAAAGAGGCGCTTGACAAATAGTAACTGCCTGTGTGTATTAGTCAGGATTAGCTGGGCTACGCTGCGATAACAACCAAGTTCTAAAATGTCAATTGTTTAATGCAACTTGGGGTCATTTTTAGCTCAGGAGGCAGAACTATTTTTAAGCCAATGGCTATCTGAGGAAACTTCAAGTGGGATAGGATCAAAACTGTTTATGTGTCATTCAAAGCGTTTACCCAGGATAAAATTTCCCTTCATTCTCTCAGATATGAACACACATTCTCGCCAAAATGATTTACAAAGAAGGCACCACTCCCCCAACAACTTGATGCTCAAGATGTGTACCCTTGGGAGGCCCTGAGCATTCTAGTTGGCAGTGCCCACGTGGGTCTCTGAGCTGTGCAGCTGCGGGAGCATGTCCATGAGGAAGAGAGCAGTGGACAGGAGTCATGAAGACCGATTCAGAAACTCCCCTGGAGGAGGAGAAGACGTCTGAGCCATCCCTGTGCCACCGACAAGAGTCCGCCAGTTTCTGAAAAAGCCACAGTGGGAGGAGCTGCCTCCAATTAAAGTCTTTGGTTGCATCACAGGATCATGTCCATCCTGTTTTCCCCTTTCCCAGCCCTACCACTGAGATTCCCATAAATCTAGAGCAATTAGATCCTGCTATCTCATAAAGAAATGTGGTTTGGAGCCCAGCAGGTGGCATAGTGGTTGAGGCACTAGGCTCCCACAAAGCCGACCACAGTTCATGTCCCAGAACTGGCAGCTTGCTTTTTCTTTCTCTCTCTCTCCCTCTCTTTCTTTCCCTCTCGCTCTGATGAGCACATGTGCCCTATAGCAAATTAAATCATTCTTTTTTTTTTTTTTTTTTTTTTTGAGAGGCTTTTTGCCATAGGGTGTGTGCGCTTGCCAGGCAGAGAGACAGAAAGCAAGAAATCATCCCCCAGAGGGGATGGCCATGCCACAATCTCTTCTCCTCCATTCTCCTCTCGGGATCTTTGGCCCGCACGCACACGCGCCCAGCATGAGTTTTAAGCCACCGGGTCCAGGACTCGAACCGCGGTCAACTATGTGGGAGTCCAGCGACATAGCCATTATGCTAACTGCTGGTTCTCTCTCTCTGGCCAGCACCCACTCTCTAGAACAGCCAAGCAAATAAATAAATAAGCCAATCTGATACATATGAGGGACCTCAAAAAGTTTGTGGAAATGGAATTAAAGTACCACTTTACTTGGGTGCAAAAAATTTTGAAAGCTATGAATAGTTTTTTATAATACACATTTTCCATGAACATGTTGAGGTCCCTTCATACTGTATTGATTCCAATTACATGGCATTCTAGAAAAGGCAAAACTAGAGAGAGAGTAAAAGAGATCGGTGGTGGTCGGAGTTTGGGGAAGGGGCAGAGGAATGACTAGGTAGAGCATGGAGGGTTTTTGGACAGTGAAAACACTCTGCATGATGCTATGATGGTAGGTAGATGTCATAACATATTCGACCAAACCTCTAGAGTGTACAACACCAAGAGTGTGTAAACTACAGACACCAGGTGATTTGTGTGTCATTAAGTTCAATAAACTTACCATTCTGGCAAGATGCTGATAATGGGGCAGGAGATGCATGAGTAGGGCAGGAAGTGTATGGAAATCTGTGTACTTTCCTCTCAATTTTGCTGTCGATCTAAAACTGCTCTAAGAAAATAAAATCTTGGGGCCTGCAGGTGGTATGATGGTTAAGGCCAACCACAGTTTGAGTCCCAGACCTGGCAGCTTGCTCTCCCTCTCTGTCTGTCTTGCTCTGATTAAATTAGATAATAATAATGAGTAAAATTACATTTAGAAAAGTACATGTGTACTATATTAACAAAAAATAAAAAGAAAAGAAAATCTTGGGGCCAGATGGCATGGAGGTTAGGGTGGCTAGGTCACACATGGCTGACAGCATGGTATGAATCCCAGATCCAGCAGCTTGAAAAGTACGCAGGACATGTGTGTGTGTGTGTGCCCAAATCAGAGAATGGAGGAAGAAGATTGCAGTGTGGCCATCCTCACTGGGCTGGAGGGTTGGGAAGCATCCCATTTTCTTTTCCTCTCACTTTCTCTCTTTCTCTTCCTCCCTCCCAGTGAGGATATGACCCCTATAGCAAAAATTAAAAACTAAAAATAAAGTTTAAAAAGAGAAAAAGAAACCTAATCTATCAAACGAAGTAGATGTTAAGGCAAAAATTCTACCACAGCTAGACTGACATTTCACAAAAATAAAAAGGTCAACCCAACAGGAAGTTATAACAATTTTAAATGTGAATGTATACAATAAGAGAGCAACACTTGCCAGAAATGAATTCACACAAAAACTTGCATACTGTTCTTCATTGCAGCATATTCATAATAGCCAAATAATACAAACGACCCAACCTATTAATGGATAAACAGAATGTAACTACCCATACAATGGAATATCGTTCATCCATAAAAAGAAATGCAGTACTGATACACATTACAAAATGAATGAGCCATGAAAACATTAAGCTATGTAAAAAGAGCCAGACACAAAAGGCCACACACTGTATGATTCCATTCCCATAAAGTTTCCAGAATGGAAAAATTCGGAGAAAGAAAATACATCAGAGCTTCCAGGGCTGGGGAGGGGGAGAAGCAGGGAGTGACTGCTAATGGGTACCCGGGGGTTTTGTTGAGGTTGGGGTAAGGGGGTGAAATGTTCTAGAATTAAATAGTGATGCTTGTGCAACCTTCTGAATATACTACAAACCGCTGAACTGAACCGTACACCATAAACTGACAAACTTTATAGCATGTGAACTATATCTCAATTTTTTAAACTATATAATTAAAGAGAAAACCTGTCAGAAGTAGAAGGAGAAATAGAAAATCTACAATCACCATTGCATATTTTCCTCTCTCAATCAAAGGCAGAACCAACCAACCAAAATCAGTAGATCAGTAAAGATAGAGATTTGAACAATACAAAGCTTGTACTGATACACTCAGGTAGACACACCATCCAGCAGCTGAAAAAAAAAAAAAAAAAAAACCTCATAAACGTAGACGCACC